GTCCCGTTGACATCTTGAACGAGATGATTGAACACAGTTCTGAAAAATTCAAATGATTCAATCTAACATTAAGTGTAAGCTATTTCCCTGAGATTTTGGAATGAAGGACTCATAACCCCTATCTTCAAGAGTGGAGATACATTTGACCAAAAAAATTAATAATCTGTGTGAACAGTAAAGTCCCAGCTCGCTCATTAATGTCTTAATCGGAATTACGGATTGCCTCTTATCCGCTCGTCGTCCCCTTATGCCGTAGTTTGTACAGCTCAATTGTCAGCAGAAACCACATTTGTTTAAGCAAGTCAGCCATATCAGCTATGTTTTTTTAAAGGCAGTAAATGAGGCTGAATGAACTGTTTCTCTGCCAGACAAGGCTCCGCTGATAGCCAGGTGGAGCAGTGGTAAGGTGTTGGGACTCTGCTGTTGGGACGGCTTTATGGAGGCCCTAACAGTTTGTGGGCACTGTTTGTTACCATTATAGTCCAATTAATGTATTGTTTTAATGTTGTGTCCCATTTTTAATTTTTTTTTTTGCCCCACCAAGATTTACATGCTAAAATCACAACTGCTCCTGCCAAATGTATGACCATATTAGAGACACATATTTCCCTCAGATGCAAGGACCCTCAAAGAATGCGAAAACAAATTAAATATTGACAAGCTCCCGTATCTGTTAGGTGAAATAATGCAGTGTTCATTCATCAAAATGTGTGACCTGTTGCCCTAAGAAAAGGGTAACCAGTGGAGCACAAACAGCAAAGTAGATAAAACCTAGGCGATCTGTGTATCGTTCGTTCAATCAATATCCAAACTTAAATAACGAAGATGGATAATAATTTTGACTACATGAATCTTCCACAAGATTGAATTATTAAATGGAGACTTGTGGGCGGGGAGAGGAGGGGCTGCAACAGGATACGTGTTCGAGCGGTTTTCAAAGTAAAAGCTCTGGATACGTTAACTGACCATCGCTCCAGCTAACTAGCTTTCACCAGGTTAGTTATAATAAGGGCCACCAACAAGTAACATTAGTTAGTTAGCTAACTAGCTAGCTGGCTTCCTTCAATGCTTGGTGGTTTTACTGACAGACAAGACAGGGATCTTATATTAAAAGCCACCAAACATCGAGCTAAAGGCAAAAGGTAGCTAGCTATCATATCAAACTGGTGTGTACAGGGAGGGAAAAAAGTATTTGATCCCCTGCTAATTTTGTACGTTTGCCCACTGACAAAGACATGATCAGTCTATAATTTTAATGGTAGGTTTATTTTAACAGTGAGAGACAGAATAACAACAAAAAAATCCAGAAAAACGCATGTCAAAAATTTTATAAATTGATTTGCATTTTAATGAGGGAAATAAGTATTTGACCCCCTCTCAATCATAAAGATTTCTGGCTGTCAGGTGTCTTTTATACAGGTAACGAGCTGAGATTAGGAGCACACTCTTAAAGGGAGTGCTCCTAATCTCAGTTTGTTACCTGTATAAAAGACACCTGTCCACAGAAGCAATCAATCAATCAGATTCCAAACTCTCCACCATGGCCAAGACCAAAGAGCTCTCCAAGGATGTCAGGGACAAGATTGTAGACCTACACAAGGCTGGAATGGGCTACAAGACCATCGCCAAGCAGCTTGATGAGAAGGTGACAACAGTTGGTGCGATTATTCGCAAATGGAAGAAACACAAAAGAACTGTCAATCTCCCTCGGCCTGGGGCTCCATGCAAGATCTCACCTCGTGGAGTTGCAATGATCATGAGAACGGTGAGGAATCAGCCCAGAACTACACGGGAGGATCTTGTCAATGATCTCAAGGCAGCTGGGACCATAGTCACCAAGAAAACAATTGGTAACACACTACGCTGTGAAGGACTGAAATCCTGCAGCGCCCGCAAGGTCCCCCTGCTCAAGAAAGCACATATACAGGCCCGTCTGAAGTTTGCCAATGAACATCTGAATGATTCAGAGGAGAACTGGGTGAAACTGTTGTGGTCAGATGAGACCAAAATCAAGCTCTTTGGCATCAACTCAACTCGCCGTGTTTGGAGGAGGAGGAATGCTGCCTATGACCCCAAGAACACCATCCCCACCGTCAAACATGGAGGTGGAAACATTATGCTTTGGGGGTGTTTTTCTGCTAAGGGGACAGGACAACTTCTCTGCATCAAAGGGACAATGGACGGGGCCATGTACCATCAAATCTTGGGTGAGAACCTCCTTCCCTCAGCCAGGGCATTGAAAATGGGTCGTGGATGGGTATTCCAGCATGACAATGACCCAAAACACACGGCCAAGGCAAAAAAGGAGTGGCTCAAGAAGAAGCACATTAAGGTCCTGGAGTGGCCTAGCCAGTCTCCAGACCTTAATCCCATAGAAAATCTGTGGAGGGAGCTTAAGGTTCGAGTTGCCAAACGTCAGCCTCGAAACCTTAATGACTTGGAGAAGATCTGCAAAGAGGAGTGGGACAAAATCCCTCCTGAGATGTGTGCAAACCTGGTGGCCAACTACAAGAAACGTCTGACCTCTGTGATTGCCAACAAGGGTTTTGCCACCAAGTACTAAGTCATGTTTTGCAGAGGGGTCAAATACTTATTCCCCTCATTAAAATGCAAATTAATGACAGAGATTAAAGGAATTAAGATGGATCGTTCAATTGTTCAGTTATTCTCAATGGTAATTAGTATCACCTCAGATCCATCATACAGGCAGCCGTCGTTGTGATCCAGTACAGGTCTGCTCGTCCAGTGGGTATTTCCTCAGATCCATCATACAGGCAGCCGTCGTTGTGATCCTACATCAAACACACCAAAATTAAGACACAGATTAAGAGACGGGCATGGGGTGAGTCCCAAACGGCAGCCTGTTCCCTTTATAGTGCACTACTTTAGACCAGGGCCCATAAGGCTGTGGTGAAAACTAGTACACTAGAGAATAGGGTGCCATTTGGGACTCAACAAAAGTTTGGCAAACATCCTACAGAAAGGTAGACATGCTGACCGACAGAGGAAAAGTCTGGACTGACCACCTGCTCTGAATCTCCACACCTTAGCACACATGCACTCACCCACACACACAGCGTTTATTCAAGTTGGATGTCTAATCTTTGAATGCAGACAACACACACACACACACAGCAACAGTCTCCTCGCTGCCTGATAGTCAGCAGCAGTAGGTCACAGTGAAATATATATTTTTAAGGAAATTGCCATGGCGACCGCGGTGTAATTTAAAAAGCCCAAAAACCAGCAACCGATACATTTTCACCCGCAACATTATTTTCAAAGTAGCCCATTTTGTCAGGAAAACCGCGGACATGGCAACCCTGAGTCCTATCATGACCTTTGCTGCATTTCCACGTCGTCCGTGTTGGACCCATATGATTGACAGCTAAACAGCCAAGGCATTAAAAAAAACAGATGACGTAGCTAGATTTCAGCCTTGTCACTGGCCGTTTTCGAATTAAATGCGTGCTTCTTTTTCTTCTTCTGTGGGTTTAAATGGCGGACCACATCCAAAAGTTGTATTGGCGCCACCAACTGGACGGTTTGAAACCAAGGAACCGCTCCGCCGCAATCACAATGATTTATATCTTCCTGGACCTTCTCTCCACCTTGGCAGTGCCATTTATCACCATAGCGATAAAGTCCACCTTTTTAACCTTTAAAATGTCAGGATCCTCTTGGTGTAAGACAACCCCTGCAGCCTGCAGTGAAGGCCTATCCACCACCATGGACTCTTCTGGTGCAACAATCAAACCATCAACCCTTTTAAACAGCTGCTGCATATGAAATGCTCTGGACAGCCCTGACTAGGGCCACCTCATCCTCTTTCGCCCTTGTGGGGCATTCAGAAGACGTGGCTTCATGATTTCCACCGCAATTACAACATGTCACATTTTCTTCACTTTTATAACACATAATGATATTTTCCACATCTTGTACATCTCGGCTTCTCCCTTCTGTAAACACTTTCTACATGACCAAAAGCTTTACAGTGTTCACACTGCATTGTTCTTGGGATAAATGCTCTAACTCTGTAGTTAATATACCCTAATCTCACTTCCTTAGGGAGAGACTCCATTTACAAAAACAAAAGAACAGAAACTCTTCACTTTTTCCCCATTCACCACATGATTCATCCAATGTGCTTCAATCACTCCAGGAATATTTTTAATCTCTTCCAAATCAACTTCCTACGAAACACCAGATATAACCCCCTTGAGGGGTGCCCTGTTCCGAAGAGACACACACAACACTTCAAATTTATCAAATCGATTAAGACACAACGAACTTTACTTCTGATCAGCGGAATCACAAAACATCTAAACAAGCCCGCCTCTCGTGATCCTTCACAGCCTTCACTTTCCCCAGCACTCTGTCCACCAGTTTGGATAGCTCAAATGGTTTCTTCAAGATTGGTACTCTGCTCAGCTGCTCCTCATTAACAAACCGTTCTCCTACTAGATATGAGGGATCATTCTCATCACTGTACCCTACTTTGCTCCGTTTTCCATTATTTTGAACAATACTCCAATTCTCCTTGATTCTACCGCTATTGTATTCAGGTTCCACTTCACCATCCGCTTCCGCCATCTTCCTTCACGCTCCCTCCGAATTAAAAGGCATCCTTCATTCCTCCCTTGAAGTAGCCTAATGATTGATCTAACGCAGGCTGATATAGGTGTAAGCAAGGGTTCTATCACATAACTTTCACCTATCCATCAGTCCAGCAGGTGCAGCCCATATCAGAAATGGTATCATTATAAATTAATCGATACAGATATTGATTTGCCATCCTCTCCCTGGCTTTGTAGATGTGTAGGCCTAAATGTTTAATAGACTTTCGAATACATATCAATTTGTCACTATGTGACTGATACTTACCTGCCGGTTAGTCTTTTCACTGATATTCTCACCGTAAATCATCCAGAATAAAGATCATCACCTGCATTTGTCTACGACAACCTATGGAGGGCGCTATATGTACAGTGTGCTTTGGACTTGCCTCGCCTGGTCACAAATGTAACCTAACTAACTAGCTGGACAACCCACCGTTTGTGTCACTTATGGGAAAATGTGTGATCAATGATGGCTTTAGAAATTAGAGGAACTTCGCCACATATTGCTGCTGGTGTATGGATAGCTGTCATATCAAGTTTCATCAATGGATCGACGTTTGTGCTTCATAAAAAGGGAATATTACGATCCCGTAAAAGAGGTAGAGTGCTGGGAAAAGAATCCCAAGTATAATACTCATTTGTTTGCAGTGTCATTTGTTGACTACAATGTTGTTGCTATTACATCCTCAGACAACATTCCTACTGTACAGGAAGTACACTGTAAGTACAGTAAGTACTACTGTACAGGAAGTACACGATCTCTGGAACAACTTCATTCGCTTCCTCATGACTGTTTTAGCAATTTCGCGGCAGAAATGAATGCAGCTTTCGCTGCAGAAATGATCATTTGACATGGAATTCAGAGGGTGACTAGTGTACTTTTAATAGCACAAACACTGCATGTATTTCATTCTTTTTTAGGTGGGTCCTATCTAAAAGATGGCGTATGGTGGAGCGGTACACTCTCCAGTAAGTAGCCTAGCTAACAGTGCCGCCTGTCGTTTATTAGCTGAAGTACATCCTCATGGGTAATTCTGTCTCACGTATAGTATTTTCCTAATAATAAATACATTTTACTACTACATTAACTATCACTATTCACCGATTGCTTTTATGTGATACTGCGCATGGGCACACTTGTAAAAAATAAATAAATAAAAAACATTATATAATTCATTATTGATCATATTTCATGAATGCCACTGACCTCTTGTGAACTCCCTCCAAACAAGTGATTGTGGGCCAGATTGGGAACTTCCTGGCCTATAACGCAGCCCCTGCTGTGGTAGTCACACCTTTAGGAGCCCTGGGGGTGCTGTTTGGGTGAGGTGCTGCTTGGCATGTTATCATTCAGTGTGTGACTACTGCTGTATTTTGGTTTTCTGGTGGGAGTGTTTACAGTAATGTGATGTTTGCTATAGTACACGGGTTACGGTGATATGATGTTCACCTAGCTAGCTAACTGCACGCCTGACTGTTTGCCTCACTGTTTGGATCACTGAAATGTTTGCTTTGTGATCCAGGGCTGTACTGGCCTCCTATATCCTCCAGGAACAGCTGGATGTCCTGGGGAAGCTGGGCTGTGTGATGTGTTGCTGTGGTTCTGTAGTGCTCATCATTCACTCCCCTAAATCAGAGAGCGTCACATCTAGTCTGGAGCTGGAGGAGAGGCTGGCTGATCCAGGTGGGTGGGGCCTGGAGATGTGGCACCCTATTCCCTATATAGTGCACTACTTTTTGACCAGAGCCCATAGGACACTATAGGGTGCTATTTGGGACGCATCCATTCACTGCTCCTATATGAGTTAATTGTGTAACAGTATCAAATAGTGCATTTAACTGCCCTCCTCAAGAATCCTTGATTAATGTTGTTGTTGAAGAGGGGTTCTTTAACTGCTTGAACGGCAAATGTAGATTTCCGCCTAAATAGACACACCCAAAAGTAATTACTTTTCATGAGATGGCCATAAACAATAACTAGTAAGGCTGCATTGTTCTAGAAAGGTCTGAGACTCTGTCGTAGCCGGCCATGACCGGGAGACCCATGGGGCGGCGCGCAATTGGCCCAGCGTCGTCCAGGGTAGGGGAGGGAATGGCCGGCAGGGATGTAGCTCAGTTGGTAGAGCATGGCGTTTGCAACGCCAGGGTTGTGGGTTCGATTCCCACGGGGGGCCAGTATGAAAAAAATAAAAAAGAATGTGTGCACTCACTAACTGTAAGTCGCTCTGGACAAGAGCGTCTGCTAAATGACTAAAATGTAAATAATACAAATATTATGAAAAATCATACATAATTTTTTCCCTATTCAACAAAAGTGGGGAAATAGGGCTTGAAATTATTAAAATGCTTTCTAAATATAATAACAATCAAATTACTTACTATAAGATTTCACATTTCTTATAACTGTAAAGTAAATATGATCATACTTAGTGACAGTACAAAATTGGCACCATTTCATATAACTGATGACAGAGAATGTTCCGCCCTTTGTCCTCTGAGACAGAGACACCGCTCTGCACCGCTCTGCACCACTCTGCATCGCTCTGTTACCAAGAGAAGTAGTCTTGTTCCAATTCTACCAAATTATTCTGTATTTTTTCATGTTGAGAGCTTCTCATTCTTCTGAGAATATCACAGCGAGATGTTCCTTAGGCTCTTCCCCTTTCATATGTGGTATTGCAAACAGGGCTCCAAGGTTTCCACAGCCAGAGGAAATCAATCCTTTATCTGGATGGGCCAGAAAATGTGACACATCACAGCCTGAGCCTATGCAAATGAGGTGTCAGATTTCACACTATCCATCTCAGCTCCTCGCAGGCAGCGCCTGAACCTGGAGACTCGGCTCTTTTGCTGAGTTCACAGCAATTGACGTTGTGTAACAGTGTTGCTTCCGTCCCTCTCCTCGCCCCTACCTGGGCTTGAACCAGGGACCCTCTGCACACATCCACAACAGTCACCCTCGAAGCACCGTTACCCGTCGCTCCACAAAAGCCGCGGCCCTTGCAGAGCAAAGGGAAACAACTACTTCAAGGTCTCAGAGCGAGTGACGTCACCGATTGAAACGCTACTAGTGCGCACCGCTAACTAGCTAGCCATTTCACACCGGTTACAGTTGCACCGTTCACAGAGTGCTTTGAACACAGAAATGTTGGTCGGAACCGGCCCAGAACTGCTCAAAGTCCTCTAAATAGGGGACTTTACATCTAAGTTGAATTGAGACAATAATACTGAGTGTGAAGTTTTTTCTCTCCATGCAGTGTTCGTCACCTATGCCTCGTTGGTGGTCCTACTGCTGGTTGTGCTGATGGTGTGGGTGGCCCCAGCTCACGGCACGTCCAACATCATGGTGTACGTATCCATCTGCTCCCTCCTGGGGAGTTTCACAGTCACCAGCAGCAAGGGGCTGGGCCTGGCCGCCCAGGATGCCTTCAGCGGGGGGCCTTCCAGCAGCCGAGCCCTGGGTCTCTTCCTGGGTCTACTGGGAACCCTGGCCGTCAGCATCCTCATCCAGTTCACCTTCATCAACAAGGCGCTGGAGCACTACAGCTCCAACATGTTTGAAGCCATTTACTACGTGACCTTCACAGCTACAGTCATCACAGCTTCAGCCATCCTGTTCAGAGAGTGGACCACCGTGGGTGTGGTAGACTGCCTGGGCATGCTGTGTGGGCTAACCACCGGGGTGTAGGGGTCCTGCTGCTCCGGATCTCCTCAGAGGCCTCACTCACCTGGAAGCAAGCTGCTAAACGACCAGATAAAATTGATTGATTAGAGGCTTGTCAGTCTCTGGGAGATCAATGCAGTGTTTATTGGTTCATTTGGGGCCACATTTTTTATCTTGAATAACATACATAACTGCTCTTCCTCCCGGGGAAGGACTGCCTGCTCCATGATAATAATAATATGCCATTTAGCAGACGCTTTTATCCAAAGCGACTTACAATCATGTGTGCATACATTTTTACGTATGGGTGGTCCCGGGGATCGAACCCACTACCCTGGTGTTACAAGCGCCATGCTCTACAGAGGACCACAATCATCGGGGTACATTTACATTTACATTTTAGTCATTTAGCAGACGCTCTTATCCAGAGCGACTTACAGTTAGTGCATACATTATTTTTTGTATCTTTCATACCGGCCCCCCGTGGGAATCGAACCCACAACCCTGGCGTTGCAAACGCCATGCTCTACCAACTGAGCTACATCCCTGGGCTTACGTGGGCTTCCAATCTGCCTCTCACCGTGTGTAAACATTTTTTTTACATCTTCATTTATTAAACATCCGCTAGGCCAGGGACAAACCTGCATTAACGTGACTACTGACTACACATTCTAATGTAATGTTTAGAACTACCTGTATCTAGCGGCTGGCCTTGCCAGGTCTCGTCTGGCAACAGTTACACTGATTAGCAGACACAGGACAGTGAATTACACATTATTACAAAGTAATATTAATTACAGATTATTAATGTAGTTCAGTCTCCACCTACTGCAGTTTTGCCTTTGTCATGGATTATTTTAGTCTGATTTGTAAAATACATGTTATTGATGTTATGTTGTTCCCAGTATTAAATAAAATACAATAAAATAAAATGTGTGCACTCACTAACTGTAAGTCGCTCTGGATAAGAGCGTCTGCTAAATGACTAAAAATGTAAAATGTAAATGTAATGGATTTGCAAACAACAATATCTGTTGCTCGCCATTCTTAAGGGCTCAATGAGAGGCAGTAATGTCCTGTTGTGATAATATGATGTTTGCTATTGAACTACTTGTCAGTCTCAGTCTCCATGTCGACTGGCTGTAACCAAAGAACCTAACTCAGGTGCCGATTGAAAGGTCTCATTACCATTACAACTTACAAAATGTGGTCAAAACATTATCAGTATGGGGTCGTCTTTTTTAATTAAGTGAAATTAACTCAATGATTTTTTAAATTTACTACAATAAAGGCAAAAAATGAAAACAAAAGCTTGCTCTTCTAATCTTGTGACGTGTTTACCTTGTCATCCCCATGACTCCAAACTAACCCTGATTCAGATCACCATCCATGCTAGATTATGGAGACTTAATTTATAGATCGGCAGGTAAGGGTGCTCTCAAGCGGCTAGATGTTCTTTACCATTCGGCCATCAGATTTGCCACCAATGCTCCTTACAGGACACATCACTGCACTCTATACTCCTCTGTAAACTGGTCATCTCTATGTACCCGTCGCAAGACCCACTGGTTGATGCTTATTTATAAATCCCCCTTAGGCCTCACTCCCCCCTATCTGAGATACCTACTGCAGCCCTCATCCTCCACATACAACACCCGTTCTGCCAGTCACATTCTGTTAAAGGTCCCCAAAGCACACACATCCCTGGGTCGCTCCTCTTTTCAGTTCGCTGCAGCTAATCAAATCAAATCAAATGTTATTGGCCACATGCGCCGAATACAACAGGTGCAGACATTACAGTGAAACGCTTACTTACAGCCCTTAACCAACAGTGCATTTATTTTAAATAAAAAAGTAGAATAAAACAACAAAAAAGTGTTGAGAAAAAAAGAGCAGAAGTAAAATAAAATAACAGTAGGGAGGCTATATATAGAGGGGGGTACCGGTGCAGAGTCAATGTGCGGGGGCACCGGCTAGTTGAGGTAGTTGAAGTAATATGTACATGTGGGTAGAGTTAAAGTGACTATGCATAAATAATTAACAGAGTAGCAGCAGCGTAAAAAGGATGGGGTGGGGTGGGGTGGGGGGACAATGCAAATAGTCCGGGTAGCCATGATTAGCTGTTCAGGAGTCTTATGGCTTGGGGGTAGAAGCTGTTGAGAAGCCTTTTGGACCTAGACTTGGCGCTCCGGTACCGCTTGCCGTGCTGTAGCAGAGAGAACAGTCTATGACTAGGGTGGCTGGAGTCTTTGACAATTTTGAGGGCCTTCCTCTGACACCGCCTGGTATAGAGGTCCTGGATGGCAGCTAGCGACTGGAACGAGCTGCAAAAAACACTCAAACTGGACAGTTTTATTTCAATCTCTTCATTCAAAGACTCAATCATGGACACTCTTACTGACAGTTGTGGCTGCTTCGCCTGATGTATTGTTGTCTCTACCTTCTTGCCCTTTGTGCTGTTGTCTGTTGCCCAATAATGTTTGTACCATGTTTTGTGCTGCTACCATGTTGTTGTCATGTGGTGTTGCTACCATGCTGTGTTGTCATGTGTTGCTGCCATGCTATGTTATTGTCTTAGGTCTCTCTTTATGTAGTGTTGTGGCGTCTCTCTTTCTGTAGTGTTTGTGGCGTCTCTCTTTATGTAGTGTTTGTGGTGTCTCTCTTTATTAGTTTGTGGTCTCTCTTTATGTAGTGTTGTGGCGTCTCTCTTTATGTAGTGTTGTGGTGTCTCTCTTTATGTAGTGTTGTGGGTCTCTCTTTATGTAGTGTTGTGGCGTCTCTCTTTATGTAGTGTTTGTGGCGTCTCTCTTTATGTAGTGTTGTGGCGTCTCTCTTTATGTAGTGTTGTGGTGTCTCTCTTTATGTAGTGTTGTGGTGTCTCTCTTTATGTAGTGTTGTGGCGTCTCTCTTTATGTAGTGTTGTGGTGTCTCTCTTTATGTAGTGTTGTGGCGTCTCTCTTTATGTAGTGTTGTGGTGTCTCTCTTTATGTAGTGTTGTGGTGTCTCTCTTTATGTAGTGTTGTGGCGTCTCTCTTTATGTAGTGTTGTGGTGTCTCTCTATATGTAGTGTTGTGGTCTCTCTTTATGTAGTGTTGTGGTGTCTCTCTCTATGTAGTGTTGTGGTGTCTCTTTATGTAGTGTTGTGGGCGTCTCTCTTTATGTAGTGTTGTGGCGTCTCTCTTTATGTAGTGTTTGTGGCGTCTCTCTTTATGTAGTGTTGTGGTGTCTCTCTTTATGTAGTTTGTGGGTGTCTCTCTTTATGTAGTGTTGTGGTGTCTCTCTTTATGTAGTGTTTGTGGTGGTCTCTCTTTAGTAGTGTTTGTGGTGTCTCTCTTTATGTAGTGTTGTGGTGTCTCTCTTTATGTAGTGTTGTGGCGTCCTCTCTTTATGTAGTGTTGTGGTGTCTCTCTTTATGTAGTGTTGTGGTGTCTCTCTTATGTAGTGTTTGTGGTTGTCTCTCTTTATGTAGTGTTTGTGGTGTCCTCTTTCTGTAGTGTTTGTGGTGTCTCTCTTATGTAGTGTTTGTGGTGTCTCTCTTTATGTAGTGTTGTGGTGTCTCTCTTTATGTAGTGTGTGGGTCTCTCTTTATGTAGTGTTGTGGCGTCTCTCTCTATGTAGTGTTGTGGTGTCTCTCTTTATGTAGTGTTGTGGTTCTCTCTTTATGTAGTGTTGTGGTGTCTCTCTTTATGTAGTGTTGTGGTGTCTCTCTTTATGTAGTGTTGTGGGTCTCTCTTTATGTAGTGTTGTGGTGTCTCTCTTTATGTAGTGTTGGTGGGTCTCTCTTTATGTAGTGTTGTGGGTCTCTCTTTATGTAGTGTTGTAGTGTCTCTCTTTATGTAGTGTTGTGGGTCTCTCTTTATGTAGTGTTGTGGTGTCTCTCTTTATGTAGTGTTTTTGGTGTCTCTCTTTATGTAGTGTTGTGGTGTCTCTCTTTATGTAGTGTTGTGGTGTCTCTCTTTATGTAGTGTTGTGGCGTCTCTCTTTATGTAGTGTTGTGGTGTCTCTCTTTATGTAGTGTTGTTGTGTCTCTCTTTATGTAGTGTTTGTGGGGTCTCTCTTTATGTAGTGTTGTGGTGTCTCTCTTTATGTAGTGTTGGTGGTGTCTCTCTTTATGTAGTGTTGTGGCGTCTCTCTCTTTTGTAGTGTTGTGGGTCTCTCTTTATGTAGTGTTGTGGTGTCTCTCTTTATGTAGTGTTGTGGTGTCTCTCTTTATGTAGTGTTGTGGTGTTCTTATTATGTAGTGCTTGTGGTAGTTTTTCATGAGATTGTGTTTTCTTTTTATGTAGTGTTGGGGGGTGCTCCAGTAGTGTTGTTTGGCCGGCTCTCTTTTATGTAAATGGGGCTGAAGAAAGGTCGCCCATTTGAATCCGGTGGGCGCTCTCTTCGTATGTTGTTGGTCTCTTTATGTGAGTTTGTGGTGTCTCTCTTATGTAGTCAGTATGAGTCTCCCTTTTTATGTAATTGTTGTGGTGTCTCTCTTTATGTAGGTTGTGTGTCTCTCTTATGTAGTGTCGTGGCGTCTCTCTTTATGTAGTGTTGTGGTGTCTCTCTATGTAGTGTTGTGGTCTCTCTTTATGTAGTGTTTGTGGTGTCCTCTTTATGTAGTGTTGTGGTCTCTCTTATGTAGTGTTGTGGTGTGTCTGTATTGGGTTATGCCTTTTTTAAATGTTTGTCTCTTATGTAGTATTGTGGTGTTTGTTTATGTTGGGGTCTCTATATTTTTGGGTTACCTCTTATTGGGTGGTGGCCCCAGGGGAGTGGTGTTGTGGTGTCTCCCCTTATGTAGTGTGGGGTCACATCTTTTGCAGTTTGGTTTATTAGTAGGGGCTCATAGATGATGGGCGTCTCTCTTTATGATGGGGTGCTCTCTTGATGTATGATTTGGTCCCTTATGTGATGTTGTTGTATTTTAACTTTGTGAGTTTCATGTATGTGGTCCTTTTTATTAGCTAATTGCCGCATTCTCCATATGATAGGTGTCTCTCTTTATGTAGTGTTGTGGTGTCTCTCTTTATGTAGTGTTG